AACCCTGAAAAAGTGGCGCTAAATGTGTCAKATTTATGAAGCTGATTTTGTGAAGGGTCCCTACATGCTTTGGCAGGAGGTTGCAGCAGGTTTACAATAATTTGTGGAAAGATAGAAATTTTTTCACCCTGAAGTGAGAAGAAGGGCAAAACACCCTGCGTTGGGATGCTTTAGAGTCATYTTCGAGGCAGAGGCTGGCGGATGGATGGATACCTGTCACTTTGGCTCGGGAGAAACGAGTCCAGCTCCCAACAACCGTGGACTTTGCTGGGGGCTGGTGTGTGGACTGAGGAGCCAAACCCTTTATCAAGAGCCTGGATCCACTTGCAGTGGAGAAAGCTGGATTTTCACCTCTGTGGAGTTTGGTTTGGAAAATATCCCCCATTTGAAATAGCTGAAAAGAGCGAAGATGATAAAGAAGCAGATGCCAGGCATTTCCCTGAGGTGAGCAGGCTGCAGGGACATGGCTGTGCTGATCAGAGCTGCTGSCATGGCCCAGGACACATCCCTGCCACCCTGGGGACCGACCCCAGCCACCATCCTGTGTTTGTCCAGCAGTGCTGGCCATGCCTGGAGTTGCTGCAGCCCTCTGACCTTTCTGCTGGCACTTGCATTAACTCCCCTTAAACCGCCTTTGGATCCACCAGGGTTTATTTCTGTTTCTAAGGCAGAGAGTGAGCAGTTGTTAGAGCACTGCCCTGTTGCTAACAGACCTTTTGCTGTTGGGGAAGTCACCCCCATCGATATCCAGGTCAAGAGGAGTTGTACTGACATTTGTACATCCTTTTTTTTTAAYTTAATGGAATTGGCAGTCGTCGACCGAAAGCAACCGCTGGGGGAAAAAAAAAAAAAAAAAGTTTAATATTTCCCTCCTGATTGCTCGATTCTGAGTGTGCCTGTTGTTATATTTATATTTGTGTTGCTAAGGCAGCGGTTAAAAGCATTTTTCAAATTAGGCACTGGTAAGCTGTGTGCTGAGCCAGGGCTCTCCCTTTGATGGCACTGACACCAACCCGTCTGCATCTGGAAAGCAAATCCCGGGCCCGGAGGACAGCAGGGTTTCTCTCCTCCAGGAGGAATGCAGGCTAAGGCCACAGACTTTGTGCAAGGTGTTATTCAGCGTTTCCCAGTGTCTGGATTGTATTTTTATTCGTGGCACAGAGGCTGATCATGACAAGAGTGAGCGTCCTTTCTTCGTCTTACAACGAGCAGCAGATAAGAGTTGGCAGCAGGTTTGGGAGGTCCTCGCTGTGCCTGGCTCTGAACGTGGAAAGGAGAGGCTGGACTTGGGGCTGGGCTCCCCTTTGATTTCTCCAGGAGCGATGCTGATTAGTGAGAAAGTGACAGTTCGTTTGCTTTTGCCAAAATAATGAAGAAGAGGAGGGCCAGCCTCTCAATGATGCACTTGATGAAGAGCACACTTTCATCGGTGCCAGCCAGCCTTACCTTYTCCCTCTTTTTTCTGCTTTGACTTTGTTCTTTGGGTCTCATTAAGAGAGGGAGCGGATCCTTTCCCAATTAAAATGTTGACATGTCGAAGACGCTCTCCTTTCCCATCATTTTGCCTCTGTTTGTAAGTGATTGCACCTTGCAGGATGAACTRGAATTAAATCAAGTGAACTTTCATTGAATAATGCAAGCTGTAAAGCAGCCCTTCTCCATGAAAAATCTCATTTATTTTTTATTTTTCTGTTTTGATCCCCTAGTCTGCATGGAGATAACCTTAACTGATAATGGCATGGCCAAGTAAAGAAGCTGCTGGGCTGGAGGGAGTGTGGAAATGTGGGAAGGATGGGCAGCCCASCCTCGTGCCAGTGTGGGCAGCTCTCACCTCGGAGAATGCAGACCCAGGGAAGAGCATTTCCCATCCTTGTGGCCGTGCCACTCCTTGTTTTGCCTGAAAGCTGGAAGTAATTATTGTTATTTGTGTTGTGTCCAGTGATGGGGGAATTTGAAGCCTGGGAACGGATGCTGTGTCCAACCCTTGAGGAGCCTCTCACTCTGTGTGGATGTGGGATTTCATCAGGGATGTGGTGCAGGGGGGACAYGRAGCAGGGAATGCACAGGAAGGGCRTKACTCCRGTCCATCAAACAYAAATAACAGGGAATTTGCTCATTGGTGAATGAATTGGGCCAGGAAATGGTCTTTGTTTTTGGTTTGAAATCAATAGCAAAGCTGCCAGTGATGCTGGTCCGAGGGGATTTAATGCCAGGTGTGTGTGTGGGCTGTGGTGGTTTGATGGCAGCACGTGTGGTGTCTCCTCTGCTTCTGGGATTTTGATGATCGTAGTAAGTCTTTCCCTGTGCATGACCTTGGGTATTCCTTGGCCCCTGAAGCCTGGGCARTGCAGTGCCCGTGTTCTGAGCATTTTGCAGCTCTTTGATGTACCTGTAGATATTGAAATTTYCTGTTTGCATCTCTCACCCAGCTGTTCCTCTGCTGGTTTTCCSTGGGCTGATCTGTGCACACACAGGGGTGGAGATGGGGAGGTGGTGAATGCAGGGGTCTCCATTCTGCTGGACATTGGGGCTGGGGGTGCAGGGATGGGGGCAGATGAGGCTCTGGGCTGCTGGGAGCTGTTCCCACATCTGCCACTGGTAGAGGGGGCTCCCCACTGTTAAAGGATTGTGCCAAAACTGGCTCTGGWCCCTTCTGCCCTCACTGCTTGGCTGCTCTGAACTCTTTGTGGGGCTGCTGTGAGGCTGCTTGGGGGGGATGCTGTAGGGTGACATCCATCTCCTTGAGGTGGCAGCCTCAGGACTGATGGATAAACACAGGATCAGRTATTTTCTGTGGTATTTAGGTCCTTGGCTATCGTACACTTTMAAAATACCTGTGTCTGTTTGCTCCTGAGCTCAAAGCATCCAAACTGTCCGGCAGGACCGCGGCTGCAGGAGCTGCAGGGAGCAGTAGTTTGTGCAGTAAATCTCCWGCGTGACTCTCCAGCAGTAATTACTGTGTGAAAGTAATAACCGAGCTGTGCTGAGTGCTCGGCCAACTCCCCCGGCTCGCTGCTCCTCGCGTGGYTCTCTCTGGGAGGTTCCTGTTTGGTAAATTAGATATTGTGCTGTATTTCAGAAAAGGTTACACTTAACCAACGCTGCCTGTACTTTATTATCTTGGCAGAGCCGTGTAACCTCTGCTGGGGTACGATTGGATTTCACATTCGGCTCTGCTGCAGTGCCCCACTCCCTGCATCCTGCCATTGTGATTACGTTAGCAGCAGACTCTGCTTTCCTTTATTTATTGAGACATTAAAGATGCATGCATTTATTTTTACCATGTTCATAATTGCCATAAAAACAGGCCATAGCATCCCAGAGCGGCTCTTTGGGAAAGAGAACAACCACGGGGATGGGGCGAGGAGGAGCGTGGCACAGATGGGCAGCACRGGGCTGGGGGGCAGTGGGTGTCCCCATGGCTGTCCTGGGAGGGGTCTGCTGCTGCCCTGCAGGATGGGGARCAGAGCAAAGGCTGCTCCTGCTGCTGCCCAGGAGAAGAGGAGCATCCCCAGGGCCAGCAGGTCCCTGCAGATCGGGGGGAATTGGGGTGGATGGACTGCTGGGCTGGGATGTCTGACTTGTACAAAAATCCTGCATCCCCAGGGGTCCCTGAGGTGCAGGGAGGATCCTGGCCAGGCTGTGCAGATCCCACCATGTCCCA